TACTCCTGCCCACCCTCCTTACTCCTGCTTGCCTTCCTTACTCCTGCCCACCCTCCTTTCTCCTGCCCACCTTCCTTACTCCTGCTCACCTTCCTTACTCCTGCTCACCTTCCTTACTCCTGCCCACCCTCCTTACTCCTGCCCACCCCTCCTTACTCCTGCCCACCCTCCTTACTCCTGCCCACCCTCCTTACTCCTGCCCACCCTCCTTTCTCCTGCCCACCTTCCTTACTCCTGCTCACCTTCCTTACTCCTGCTCACCTTCCTTACTCCTGCCCACCCTCCTTACTCCTGCCCACCCTCCTTACTCCTGCCCACCCCCTCCCTCCTTACTCCTGCCCTCCCTCCTTACTCCTGCCCACCCTCCTTACTCATGCCCACCCTCCTTACTCCTGCCCACCCTCCTTACTCCTGCTCACCCTCCTTACTCCTGCCCACCCCTCCTTACTCCTGCCCACCCTCCTTACTCCTGCTCACCCTCCTTACTCCTGCCCACCCCTCCTTACTCCTGCCTACCCTCCTTACTCCTGCCCACCCTCCTTACTCCTGCCCACCCTCCTTACTCCTGCCCACCCTCCTTACTCCTGCCCACTCTCCTTACTCCTGCCCACCCTCCTTACTCCTGCCCACCCTCCTTACTCCTGCTCACCCTCCTTTCTCCTGCCCACCCCTCCTTACTCCTGCCCACCCTCCTTACTCCTGCCCACCCTCCTTACTCCTGCCCACCCTCCTTACTCCTGCCCACCCTCCTTACTCCAGCCCACCCTCCTTACCCCTGCCAACCCTCCTTACTCCTGCCCACCCTCCTTTCTCCTGCCCACCTTCCTTACTCCTGCTCACCTTCCTTACTCCTTCTCACCTTCCTTACTCCTGCCCACCTTCCTTACTCCTGCCCACCTTCCTTACTCCTGCTCACCCTCCTTACTCCTGCCCACCCCTCCTTACTCCTGATCACCTTCCTTACTCCTGCCTACCCTTCTTACTCCTGCCCACCCTCCTTACTCCTGCCCACCCTCCTTACTCCTGCCCACCCTCCTTACTCCTGCCCATCCTCCTTACTCCTGCCCACCCTCCTTACTCCTGCCCACCCTCCTTACTCCTACCCACCTCCTTACCCCTGCCCACCCTCCTTACCCCTGCCCACCCTCCTTACCCCTGCCCACCCTCCTAACTCCTGCCCACCCTCCTTACTCCTGCCCACCTTCCTTACTCCTGCCCACCCTCCTTACTCCTGCCCACCCTCCTTACTCCTTCCCACCCTCCTTACTCCTGCCCACCCTCCTTACTCCTGCCCACCCTCCTTACTCCTGCCCACCCTCCTTACTCCTGCCCACCCTCCTTATTCCTGCCTGCTCTCCTTATTCCTGCCTGCCCTCCTTACTCCTGCTTGCCTTCCTTACTCCTGCCCACCCTCCTTACTCCTGCCCACCCTCCTTACTCCTGCCCACCCTCCTTACTCCTGCCCACCCTCCTTACTCCTGCCCACCCTCCTTACTCCTGCCTACCCTCCTTACTCCTGCCCACCCTCCTTACTCCTGATCACCTTCCTTACTCCTGCCTACCCTCCTTACTCCTGCCCACCCTCCTTACTCCTGCCCACCCTCCTTACTCCTGCTTGCCTTCCTTACTCCTGCCCACCCTCCTTTCTCCTGCCCACCTTCCTTACTCCTGCTCACCTTCCTTACTCCTGCTCACCTTCCTTACTCCTGCCCACCCTCCTTACTCCTGCCCACCCCTCCTTACTCCTGCCCACCCTCCTTACTCCTGCCCACCCTCCTTACTCCTGCCCACCCTCCTTTCTCCTGCCCACCTTCCTTACTCCTGCTCACCTTCCTTACTCCTGCTCACCTTCCTTACTCCTGCCCACCCTCCTTACTCCTGCCCACCCTCCTTACTCCTGCCCTCCCTCCTTACTCCTGCCCTCCCTCCTTACTCCTGCCCACCCTCCTTACTCATGCCCACCCTCCTTACTCCTGCCCACCCTCCTTACTCCTGCTCACCCTCCTTACTCCTGCCCACCCCTCCTTACTCCTGCCCACCCTCCTTACTCCTGCTCACCCTCCTTACTCCTGCCCACCCCTCCTTACTCCTGCCTACCCTCCTTACTCCTGCCCACCCTCCTTACTCCTGCCCACCCTCCTTACTCCTGCCCACCCTCCTTACTCCTGCCCACTCTCCTTACTCCTGCCCACCCTCCATACTCCTGCCCACCCTCCTTACTCCTGCTCACCCTCCTTTCTCCTGCCCACCCCTCCTTACTCCTGCCCACCCTCCTTACTCCTGCCCACCCTCCTTACTCCTGCCCACCCTCCTTACTCCTGCCCACCCTCCTTACTCCAGCCCACCCTCCTTACCCCTGCCAACCCTCCTTACTCCTGCCCACCCTCCTTTCTCCTGCCCACCTTCCTTACTCCTGCTCACCTTCCTTACTCCTTCTCACCTTCCTTACTCCTGCCCACCTTCCTTACTCCTGCCCACCTTCCTTACTCCTGCTCACCCTCCTTACTCCTTCCCACCCCTCCTTACTCCTGATCACCTTCCTTACTCCTGCCTACCCTTCTTACTCCTGCCCACCCTCCTTACTCCTGCCCATCCTCCTTACTCCTGCCCACCCTCCTTACTCCTGCCCACCCTCCTTACTCCTGCCCACCCTCCTTACTCCTGCCCACCCTCCTTACTCCTGCCCACCTTCCTTACTCCTGCCCACCCTCCTTACTCCTGCCCACCCTCCTTACTCCTGCCCACCCTCCTTACTCCTGCCCAACTTCCTTACTCCTGCCCACCTTCCTTACTCCTGCTCACCCTCCTTACTCCTGCCCACCTCTCCTTACTCCTGCCCACCCTCCTTACTGCTGCCTACCCTCCTTACTCCTGCCTACCCTCCTTACTCCTGCCCACCCTCCTTTCTCCTGCCCACCTTCCTTACTCCTGCCTATCTTCCTTACTCCTGCCCACCCTCCTTACTCCTGCCCACCCTCCTTACTCCTGCCCACCCTCCTTACTCCTGCCCACCCTCCTTACTCCTGCCTACCCTCCTACCCTGTACTCCTGCCTACCCTGTAAGAGACACTTTGGTACTGTATTGTAGTTAGAAAAAACATTGTATTCAGTATAAAATGTATTTGTATGTTAATATTTTTAGGGTGGGGAACGGATTAATTCAATTCCCTTTATTTCTTATGGGAAAAATCGCTTCGACTTACGATATTTCGACTTACGATCCGTCTCTGGGAACGGATTAGCATCGGAAGTCGAGGCCCCATTGTGTGTGTGTGTGTATATATATATATATATATATATATATATATATATATATATATATATATATATATATATATATATATATATATATATATATATATATATATATATAATGTCGTACCTAGTAGCCAGAACTCACTTCTCAGCCTACTATGCAAGGCCCGATTTGCCTAATAAGCCAAGTTTTCCTGAATTAATATATTTTCTCTAATTTTTTTCTTATGAAATGATAAAGCTACCCATTTCATTATGTATGAGGTCAATTGTTTTTTATTGGAGATAAAATTAAAGTAGATATATGACCGAAGCTAACCAACCCTACCTAACCTAACCTAACCTATCTTTATAGGTTAGGTTAGGTTAGGTAGCCGAAAAAGTTAGGTTAGGTTAGGTTAGGTAGGTTAGGTCGTCGAAAAACAATTAATTCATGAAAACTTGGCTTATTAGGCAAATCAGGCCTTGCATAGTAGGCTGAGAAGTGAGTTCTGGCTACTAGGTACGACATATATATATATATATATATATATATATATATATATATATATATATATATATATATATATATATATATATATATATATATATGTATGTATGTATGTATGTATGTATGTATGTATATATATATATATATATATATATATATATATATGTCGTACCTAGTAGCCAGAACGCACTTCTCAGCCTACTATGCAAGGCCCGATTTGCCTAATAAGCCAAGTTTTCCTGAATTAATATATTTTCTCTAATTTTTTTCTTATGAAATGATAAAGCTACCCATTTCATTATGTATGAGGTCAATTTTTTTTATTGGAGTTAAAATTAACGTAGATATATGATCGAACCTAACCAACCCTACCTAACCAAACCTAACCTACCTTTATAGGTTAGGTTAGGTTAGGTAGCCGAAAAAGTTAGGTTAGGTTAGGTTAGGTAGGTTAGGTAGTCGAAAAACAATTAATTCATGAAAACTTGGCTTATTAGGCAAATTGGGCCTTGCATAGTAGGCTGAGAAGTGCGTTCTGGCTACTAGGTACGACATATATATATATATATATATATATATATATATATATATATATATATATATATATATATATATATATATATATATATATATATATATATATATACTGTACTTAGTTTATAAATCAAATAGATAAGATTTGGTGGTCTTATTACCACCAAATCAACTAAGCCCAGATTTGTGTGAGACCAATAGTCAATTTATCCATCATGGTTATGTTTGGTGAAGAGTATCACTCAATCTCAACAGTCCTGTAACGTAATTGTGTATTCCCATTGTAAGTGTAAAATAATCCAGAGTTGTTCAATAAAACCCATGTGTTAAGATGTAACCCACAGTGTACTTATTGTCCAACTTAGACTACGAATACTTGATCCTTCCCCCATTATCACATACGATACATACATTTCCTTCCATTATTCATAATAAAGTAAGGACGTGTTTTGTTAGTCTGTACTCTCAGGTATGGCTTACAAACAGCCCTGCTGCTGCAATATGTTACCAAAATATATTATCCCATACTCCGGGATATGTTTATAAAAAATATTGGCCTTGCTGTGAATGTGTTAATCTGTCAGTAATATTAACCCTGCTTTGAAATAGCTAATGCAATGAATGTATAAAAATATTATGTAATTTGTATTAGTAAATAAAGTACTGTAATATTAGTTTTAGTTGTAAATACATCTAGCAAACTAAATATTCTTTTCCACAGGATAACAAGCCAGAGGAATGTTCAGTGTGTTTTAACGATTATGACGAAAATCGGCTACGACCTCGCACACTGCCATGTGGCCACACATTCTGCTCCCAGTGTATTGACAATGCTATCAAGAATGGTAAGCTGACCTGCCCTAGCTGCCGTGCCGAGCACGCTGCCACAGCCTCTACTCAGTTCCCAATTAGCTATGCTGTGGAGGCTTTTGTTAGGAAACTAAAAAATACCCAGCTAACAACTGAGGAAGTAGTGCCAGCAAAACCTTATGAAGGTCCCACCAGAGGCATCAGTAAGACATTACGTTCCATGGTGCAGGAGCAGATGAGCAGCATCAGCCGCCTCATTGTTAGCTGTGAAGAGGTAATGTCCCAGCTGGGGGAGTACCGGGGGCAGCTGGGGGACTGGAAGACTCATCACCTCCAGCTCCAGGACAGACTCTATGCTCTGGTAGAGCAGAATAAGTCAGCAATGAAACTCTTGGAACTGGAGGATACAAGTGTGGAAGATATGACAACACAAGGAGAGGAAGGGAAGACTCAGCTGCAGGCCATGTTGGGGAACCTCGACACAGTCAACACTCCACAGGAGGTTGGCACAACCATAGACACAGCTGATGAGTACAAGATGAAGGTAGAAGATTGGGTCCGGAAGTGCCAGGAACTCTTCTCAGATGTCAAGACTGTCCACACCTCAGTGAAGGTACACTACCGAAGGTCACATTGTTCTCACCCAACTGAGTGTAGTATTGCCTCTATATAAACACTTTTGACATGGACACACATCAAGATGAGAGTTGACTTTATATATAGGAAACTTTTTGCTCTAACACCTGAAACATTTTTATTAATAAAGTCAACTGTCATCTTGGTGTTTCTCTACACTGTGGTCAGTGTAGAGCAGGGGTCTCCAAACTATGGCCCGCGGGCCACATCCGGCCGCCACATAATTTCATCCGGCCCTCCAAACAAATCCCTGTGTGGTGGCCTTGAAAAAATAATTATCATACAAATGGCATCGCAGAATTATTCAAAGCTGGGGCTGCTGACTGGTGGCGCTCACCCCGAGTCAGTTTTCCTCTCTCTCGATAGTGTGACGCACAGATACTAATACTGGTAGGTATGTGTTGTGCATTACAACCAATCAGTTGTGTATAACTGTATATTGTGGGGATGGAGTGCGAGTGGGGCTTCGCTGCTTCCGTTTCAGGGAGCAGAAACACTGTACAATATTCTTTTCTCTGTATTTTGACAATGCCTTTATCTTAGTTATACAAAATAGCAATTTCATTTTTTATTCCTCCGGCCCGCATAAATATGGGAAATATATAATGTGGCCCTTACATTGAAAAGTTTGGAGACCCCTGGTGTAGAGAAACACTATTACTTATATTTTTCAGTTACTTTACTCAGAGCCTGATGCTTCATTATAGTCCAGTTACTTTACTCAGAGCCTGATGCTTCATTATAGTCCAGTTACTTTACTCAGAGCCTGATGCTTCATTATAGTCCAGTTACTTTACTCAGAGCCTGATGCTTCATTATAGTCCAGTTACTTTACTCAGAGCCTGATGCTTCATTATAGTCCAGTTACTTTACTCAAAGCCTGATGCTTCATTATAGTCCAGTTACTTTACTCAGAGCCTGATGCTTCATTATAGTCCAGTTACTTTACTCAAAGCCTGATGCTTCATTATAGTCCAGTTACTTTACTCAGAGCCTGATGCTTCATTATAGTCCAGGTTCCACCATTAATGTTTGTGTTGGTAATGACAGGTGCAGGAGACCATCAGGGAGGCCCTGGAGATGATGACCACAGAGACAGGTGCCACAGCTGACCCTGTACACCTGGGAGACTCAGCCTCCACCATTAATGTTTGTGTTGGTAATGACAGGTGCAGGAGACCATCAGGGAGGCCCTGGAGATGACGACCACAGAGACAGGTGCCACAGCTGACCCTGTACACCTGGGAGACTCAGCCTCCAGCATCATGAATAAAGTTCAGGAAATCACTGGAGAGATCCCCCAGAAGCAATTAACAGTAAGTTTTTTTATTTTCTCTCGTGGTTCATATCACAAGATATTGAGTTGCGTTTTGAGGAGAGGAAGCCTGTTCTTAGGTTTATGGAGGTTCCCCAAGGTCAACTACTGACTTTCTTTAACATACAATACACAATAGTTGCCTAACTCCTGGTAAACATTTACTGGTAGGTGAACAACAGAAACAGGTGAAAAGAAACATGTGAATCATTTCCGTCCTGCATAAAGATTGAACCTGTGATCCTCTATTGAACCCGGGATCCTGGCCCCCTCACAGAGGCGCAGAGACCGGGTGACACTCCACCAACCTACCGGGAAAGCATTCAGGAAGACAGTGAACCAAAACAGACCACTGATGGGTTCGAAGAGACTGAAGCCTTGAAACTGCTAATAAACTCCCAAACAATGCCAGCACCAACCCCCTGCCAGTAGAGGGGGGGCTGGAGCTACAGGTCCAGCACCAACCCCTTGCCAGTAGAGGAGGGCTGGAGCTACAGGTCCAGCACCATCCCCCTGCCAGTAGAGGGGGCCTGGAGCTACAGGTCCAGCACCATCCCCCTGCCAGTAGAGGGGGCCTGGAGCTACTGGTCCAGCACCATCCCCCTGCCAGTAGAGGGGGGCCTGGATCTTCTGGTCCAGCACCATCCCCCTGCCAGTAGAGGGGGCCTGGAGCTACAGGTCCAGCACCAACCCCCTGCCAGTAGAAGGGGGCTGGAGCTACAGGTCCAGCACCAACCCCCTGCCAGAAGAAGGGGGCTGGAGCTACAGGTCCAGCACCAACCCTCTGCCAGTATATAGAGGCTGGAGCTACAGGTTGTCACACGCCGCTCACCTTGGCCTTGTGTTACATGAGGTTACAGTTAAACAGCGGGGGATCGTGCTACTGATCCTATAACCTCACACCGTGGGACTTCACTCCCTCCACTAGGGTATCACATTTCACCCCAGGGAGCTCTCCTAGTTGTGCCTCAGGACCGGTCACCACTTGACCTTGGACCCAAGGGGGAGAGGAGAAGGCCCAGCCCACACTACTAAACTCAATCCTGCAGTATGTGACTCCACCACCGGGCCTGCCCACCTGTGCGTGCAGAGAATTTGCCGGACTTCCGGCCGTAGCCTCACTTTTACCTCTTCCTTCCTGGTCGCCAGCTGGGTAATTTTCTCTGCGTCCCAGCAACGCCGTTAGTTCAAATATAATATATTTACAGCAGCCTAGGACCTTACTGTGTGCTGCCAATACTAGAATTCAAATGTACAGTCATGTTGCCATCTCAGGGTCACTCATTAGGGAATGCCAGTACCAGTGTTCAAATCTCATGTCGTGTTGCCAACACAGGGTCTCTCTCTGTCATTCCTGTAACAGTACAGTATAATCATGTTATTAACCACAAAGCTCAATGAGATGGAGGTTATACCAAAAGCAGTGATAAAATAGTAAAAGTTTACTCAAAGTATACTACAACACACAAGATACATGTATGAATTTATGGAAATAATAATAATAATGATGACAGCAAGGCTCCTCTGGTGGCCGCCAGCAGCTCGCATCAGCTGATGAATTAAAGGGATCACTGGCCCCTCCTCACTGGGGCGGCTCCATCAGCGTCGCTCCTCACTCCTCCACGGGCGGCCACACGCTGTCTTCACCACTCAGTAGAATAATATATACGTGCTGTCCCACAGCCTAATCTACTCCTATGACTTATATGCACTCTAATAAATGCCTAAGCATAATAATAGGACTATCTTGCCTAACAATCAAGGGAATTATGGGAGGGAAATATGATCTACCTTAACATATCCCGTCCTCAGACGCCTAGGCTCCAGTCGCCCGCTGGGTACTCCGTTCCTCGCGTTGTTCCCAGCGTTCCAGAAGCATCACCAGTCCATAGGTGTGAAGATCCTCGGCATCTCCGTGCTCATTCCCTGAGTGATGTTTCTGGGCGTTGGCTCATCCATTCGTCACTGCATGCGTTGTTCCCTCAAGCATTCCTTCACCGAGACCACACTCAAGGATCAGGATGCACTTTCTTCCTTCTGAGTTCCTAGTGGGCGTGATCTGATCACAACAGCTCTGAATGCTTTGGAGTTCCACCGACAGCGAGTCACTCACTCCTCCAGCCGTCGTAACTCTCTCAACTTCTCCAAAACTATTAGCACACGGTCCTCGGCGCCCTTTCATCGCTGGATTAGGCTTCCTCGCACTTCCCTAAAGTACTGCAGTCATTGTTAGTCACTATATACTCGTCAGGCTGTGTATATCCACTTATGGAGGCTCCTAGACCTCAAAACTAGAGAGCTCAATCGGCGCACGTCCGCTCCCAACGAAGCGCCGAGTATCTCTGAGCGCCTGGTGCTCTGCAGGCGGCGGGCCAGATCTCTCGGTGGCGTCACAGACCCAGGGGCGGGCTCTGATGGGTCAATGAAGTCATGTGACCTCAGCCACCGAATCAGAGGGCGTCGTACACAAAATGGTGGATTTGCAGGCCAGGCGGTGCCATTTTGTTGTACCCATGGCGCGACTTATCCATTTCTCTGCAAATTTACATATGCAAATTTCTCCCCAAATTGACAACCATTCTGGAAGCCTCATACCTCAAAAGATTCCCAGCACCTCAGAGAACCTGCAGATAAGTTAATATGACTTACAGCTGGCATATGGGAGAAACTGTAGAGGACACCATCACATGGTCCAGGACTAATCCCCTGCCAGTAGAGGTGGGGGGGGGGGGGGGCTGGAGCAACAGGTCCAGCACCAACCCCCTGCCAGTAGAGGGGGGGCTGGAGTTACAGGTCCAGCACCAACCCCCTGCCAGTAGAGGTGGGCAGGAGCTACAGGTTCAGCACTAAGCCCATGCCAGTAAAGGAGGCTGGAGCTACAGGTTCAGCACCAACCCCCTGCCAGTAGAGGGGTGGCTGGAGCTACAGGTCAAGGACCAACCCCCTGCCAGTAGAGGGGGGCTGGAGCAACAGGTCCAGCATCAACCCCCTGCCAGTAGAGGGGGGCTGGAGCTACAGGTCCAGCACCAACCCACTGCCAGTAGAGGAGGGCTGGAGCTACAGGTCCAGCACCAACCCACTGCCACTAGAGGAGGGCTGGAGCTACAGGTCCAGCATCAACCCCCTGATAGTAGAGGGGGGCTGGAGCTACAGGTCCAGCACCAACCCCCTGCCAGTAGAAGTGGGGGGGGGGGGAAGCTGGAGCTACAGGTCCAGCACCAACCCCCTGATTGTAGAGGGGGGCTGGTGCTACAGGTCCAGCACCAATCCCCTTCCAGTAGAGTTGGGCTTGAGCTACAGGTCCAGCACCAACTCCCTGCCATTAGAAGTGGGCTGGAGCTACAGGTCCAGCACCAATCCCTGCCAGTAAAGGTGGGCTGGAGCTACAGGTCCAGCACCAACCCCCTGCCAGTAGAGGGGGACTGGAGCTACAGGTCCAGCACCAACCCCCTTCCAGTAGAGGTGAGCTTGAGCTACAGGTCCAGCACCAACCCCCTGCCAGTAGAAGGGTAGGCTGGAACTACAGGTCCAGCACCAAGCCCCTGCCAGTAGAGGGGGGTGAAGCTACAGGTCCAGCACCAGCCCCCCTGCCAGTAGAGGGGGGGGGGGTGGAGCTACAGGTCCAGCACCAACCCCCTGCCAGTAGAGGGAAGCTGTAGCTACAGGTCCAGCACCAACCCCCTGCCAGTAGAGGGAAGCTGGAGCTACAGGTCCAGCACCAACCCCCTGCCAGTAGAAGCGGGCTGGAACTACAGGTCCAGCACCAACCCCCTGCCAGTAGAAGCGGGCTGGAGCTACAGGTCCAGCACCAACCCCCTGCCAGTAGAGGGAAGCTGGAGCTACAGGTCCAGCACCAACCCCCTGCCAGTAGAAGCGGGCTGGAACTACAGGTCCAGCACCAACCCCCTGCCAGTAGAGGTGAGCTGGAGCTACAGGTCCAGCATCAACCCCCTGATAGTAGAGGGGGGCTGGAGCTACAGGTCCAGCACCAACCCCCTGCCAGTAGAAGTGGGGGGGGGGGGAAGCTGGAGCTATAGGTCCAGCACCAACCCCCTGATTGTAGAGGGGGGGCTGGTGCTACAGGTCCAGCACCAATCCCCTTCCAGTAGAGTTGGGCTTGAGCTACAGGTCCAGCACCAACTCCCTGCCATTAGAAGTGGGCTGGAGCTACAGGTCCAGCACCAACCCCTGCCAGTAAAGGTGGGCTGGAGCTACAGGTCCAGCACCAACCCCCTGCCAGTAGAGGGGGACTGGAGCTACAGGTCCAGCACCAACCCCCTTCCAGTAGAGGTGAGCTTGAGCTACAGGTCCAGCACCAACCCCCTGCCAGTAGAAGGGTAGGCTGGAACTACAGGTCCAGCACCAAGCCCCTGCCAGTAGAGGGGGGTGAAGCTACAGGTCCAGCACCAACCCCCCTGCCAGTAGAGGGGG